TGTTCTGAATACATCTGTTAAACCCATCTGGTCCAGTGTGTTATTCAAAGCCACTGTTTCAATTGATTTTCAACTTAGATGCCTATTGATGTAAGTGGGGGTATTAAAATCCCCTACTGTAATTATATTCTTATCAATTAGTTCCTTTATTAACTGTTTTATGTATTTGGGTGCTCTCACGTTGGGTGCATAAGTATTAAGATTGTTATCTCTTGTTGGATTGTCTCCTTTTTTATTGTATGGGACCCTTCTTTGTCTCTTGTTAAAATCTTTATTTAAAGTCTATTTTCTCCAGTATAAGTATGGCTACTTAGGGTTTCCTTTGACACTCATTTGCAGGATAATTTCCTCACTTCCATCTCCATTTCCTCACTTCCATCTTCAGGTGTTTTTAGGACTGAAATGAGTCTCTTCTAAATAGCCTATAGATGAGTCTCTCTTTTAAAAATCCATTTTGTCACTATTTTGTAATTCTATGTCTATTGCCTGGAGTGTTTAGTCCATTTAAATTTAAGTAATTACTGACAGATATGTATTTATTGCCATTTTATTACCTATTTTGTGTTTTTTTCTGAAGATTTTCTCTGATCCTTTCTTGTCTTATCTGTTTAATGGTTTGCCAGTTTTCTTTAGTGATATATTTGGATCTCTTCCTTTTTATTATTTACATATTTATTAGTGATTTTTGATTTGTGGTTACCATTTGGTTTGTATATAATTTCTCTTACATATCATGTCATCTGTGTCAAGTTGATGGCCATTTTAGTTTGAACCCATTCTTTCTTTACTCCTCTCCACCTGATGTTTTAAGTATTTGGTGGCATATTTACATCCTGTGTTTGTGTGTGTGGGGGGGTCCTTGACTGATATTTTACAAAAATATTCATTTTTGTCACTTTTGTGTTTCCTATCTTAGCACTATCACTGTTGGTCTTTCCTTTCCACTCAAAGAGTCCCCTTTAATATTTCTTGCAGGGCTGGTTTAGAGGTCATGAACTCCTTTAGTTTCCATCTGGGGAACTCTTTATTTCTCCTTTTATTCTGAATGATAACCTTTCTGGATAGATTATTCTCAGCTGTGGATTTTTCCCATTCAGCACTTTGAACATATCATGCGACTCCCTTCTGGCTTGGAAAGTTTCTGCTGAAAAATCTACTGATAGTCTAATGGGGTTTCCCTTGTATGTAACTATCTTTTTTCTTGTTGCTTTTAAATTATTTCTTTACCACTACATTTTGCCATTTTAATTATATGTCTTGGTGTGGATCTGCTTTTGTTGTTTCTGGGAGTTCTCTGTGCCTCTTGGATCTGGATGTCTATTTCCTTTCACAGATTAGGGAAGTTTTCAGATATTTTCTTTTCAAATACATTTTCTGCCTCCTTTTCTTTCTCTTCTTCTGGGACTCCTAAAATGCTAATGTTATTACATTTGATGAAGTCATTGAGTTCCCTAATTCTAAATTCCTTTTGCATAATTTTTTCCTCTCTTTGTTCAGTTTGATTACTTTCTATTATTCTGTCTTTAAGGTCTTGTTCCTCTGCTTCTTCCAGCCTGCTGTTCATTCCATCAAGCATGTTCCTAATCTCATCTATTGCACTGTTCATCTCTGACTGTTGTTTTTTTTTTTTTTTTTCTGTTGTGTCTTCCACTCTTTTCTCAGGTCCAGCAAGTAGCATTATGATCATTGCTTTAAATACCCCATCAGCCATCATATTTATATCTGTTTCACTTAGATCTCTGGCCATGGCCTTGTCCTTATCTTTCATTTGGGACAAATTTTTCTGTCTTCTCATTTGTCTAAGTCTCTGTGCCTATTTCTCTTTTTTAAAGAAGTCAGCTATGTCTCCTGTTGTTGAGGGTAATGGGCTTACAAAGTGGGGGTCCTGTAGTGCCCTGCCATGTAGTGTCCCTTGTTCTCTAGGGCCTAGTACTTCCAGAAATATCTCCAGTGTGTGCTGCGTGTGCTCTGCTGTTTTGTTCTAACCATTTTATCTTTCAGGCCAGTCATCTCTAAAGGTTTTCTTTGCCTGTTATAGGCAGTGTATGGTCCCTGGCATGAATGTGGTGCATTTTAACCAGGTGTGCTCTAGTGTGCTTGGGAGGTAAAACCTGTCAGCAATGTCACCAGAACTGAGATGTCACAAAACTCTCTGGTTGGGAGATGTAGTATGAGTAGGGGTTTTGGCTGGGGTTCTATGCAGAGGGCCCACAGCACTGGGACTGGGGCAACCTAGGCTGGAAGGAGGGGCTCACTACAGCATGGGGGGTAGGACTTGGTTTAAGTAAGTTGGAAAACCAGTGTCTTTGCTTCTCACAGGTGGTCCTGTTCTTATGCTGAGGGGCAACAGAGGGAAATGGCACCTGACAGTTTCTTTGTTGCTGGTGGGGTCTCTCCAAGGATGCTGCCTGTCTGGGACAACAAATAACCTCCTCACTGTGTGCCCCAGGTAACTTTCAGATTGCTGTTCAAATGTCTTCAAGCTGTCAGCCCTACCTTTTTTCCAAAGAGCAGCACCAATGTCCCAGGCTTCTCATTGAACCAAACTTGCTGATCTTTAGAAGTCTATGCTTTAAGCCCCTTTCATTGTAAAAACATAAAATTTGGCCCCTCTCAGTTTCCAAGCCAATTGCTATGGGATTTATTTTCCCTATGCACTCCCCTGTGTGTTAGTTTGTCTCTCACCCTTCTCTTCCTTGACATTTCCCTCCCCACTACAGGGGTCAGTAACCATTTTTCTTCCAAATTGCATCTTTGCATTTCCTACTTTCTTTGACAAGGCCTCTTCTCTACCTTTATTTGTGGAGTTTGTTCTGCCAGACATCAGGTTGATTTCTGGGGTATTTAGGATGATTTGATAGTTATCTTGTTGTATTTCTTAGACAAGGTGAGCCTAGGGTCTTCTTAATCTGCTGCCACATTCCCACAGTCTATTCATTTTTTAGGATTGCTTTTTCTTACTTTTTAATGTATTTTGCAATTGCATATAGTTTCTTATTTGCTAGTGCATAAAAATGTAGTTGATAGCCATTTCTCTAAAATTTTTCCCAAATTCATCTATTAATTTGAAAAATTTTCCAATAGATTCTTTGGATTTTTTCATTAATTCATTAGTTATATTTATTAATTAATATAAACTAATTTTGTAATTGAGCTATTAATTTCTTTCAAATCCTTATGCCTTTTATTTCTTTTTATTTCCTTCCTCCATTGATTATTTGTGGCAGAATGTTAAATAATAAGCATATCCAACTCATTTTCAACTTCAAAAGGAAATTTTCAACATTTCACTATCATATGTGAAGCTTGCTGTAGAAGTCTGTATCAATAACTTTTACTTCACTTTTATTTTTGTTATATAATATTATAGGTTGGCTGTAATTTTTCTTTCAGCACTATAAAAACATCATTCCATTCTCTTTTGGCTTCTATTACACTGGATTGGAATGACTTATCTATATCTCAATATGAGCTTCCAAATAAGGCCAGAGACAGTTTAGATTTTAAACTAATTACATACAATAAGATTGATTTAAAATACCATAAGATACATTATGACAAAATTGATAGCCTGCTTTTCGGCCTGTTTACCTGTATGCATGGGGACAAAAAAAAAATCTTCATTAAGAAAATGAAACTATACTATTGCTATTAGCTTATTGCTACTTTTTGTAAGTGTATGCAACCAATAGAACTGCAATCTTTAAAATGTGAGATCCTGATTCTCTAGATCTGGGTAATAATTGCAGAGGGACCTGTGATTCATTTTCCCATTTTCTCTTTTTATGGCTCGGTATGAACTTTCTTTTTAGTCTAGAAAAGTAGGGATAGAGAGCCAAACAAAATAAATAATAAACACAACCTTTAAAGTATTGGAGAAAGTTAAGTTTCAAGTTCTACACAGTTTGCTTACAATTATGTGAAATGCCATCAGATGTATCACTGTACACCAAGTGTTTATAGGTTGTAAATATTCTAAACAGTTCTAATAACTAACTAAATGAGCTGATGTTCATTTCTGACTTGATGATTTGGATCCTGATAAAACTCCAGAATCTGCTGCTATTCCAGAACATCCATTAAGCTTTCTTTGGGAAAGTGACATACCATCGATATAAATTAAGTGTATGTTTTCTAGACTTTCATTTATAATTTCCTGAGAGGAATGCTACTGGTTACCTACCTGATGAACAATTATACTATAACAAAGATAAAATCTTAAGAATGACTTAATTTTTTACAGTTTTTCACAAAGCTACAATATTTGTAAATTCTATAATATGTGAATTCAGGTGTCGCATTGCTTGGGTTTGTGATGTGTTCTATTTTTCACTATCTGTCTGTCTCACTTTCTTCATCTGTAAAATGGGCTTTATAGTAATTCTTATCTCAGAGCATTGTTGTAAGAATTAATAACATATTCCATGGCACATATTAAGTGCATAAATATTGGTATTGGTATTAATATTAATGATTGATAAATACTAAGCAATAGTGAGTAGCTATTTTTCCATATGTTTCCTGCCATAAAAGCATTTTAAAATTGTGTAGGTGAATATATTTTCTGGCTAGGGTAGTACTGAATACAAGTTTCTTTAAATACACTGTGTGAGGGAAAGGACATAAACTTTAAGCACACAGTTCATACATTCTGGCATATATTGTGAAGTGTTCAATGGCAAAGGAAAAGTACTCAAATATGTTTCATATTTTATTAAGTACTCAGAGTTATGGTTGTTTTGCCAAATTACTCATTACATTTATAGGTGTTCTTTAATAACCTTGAAAACCTAAATGGCATTTAAAAGGCTCAGATTTAAAATGCATCCTCGATTTCAAAAATCAGATAAACTGCCACTCTATTTAATTTAAAATATTGTGAAATTACAGTTTCAACTCTACTTTTTAATAAGAAATCTTTGATGAATATCAGAGTTTCACATATACTTTTAAAACAACATTTATAAAATTACATAAAATGAAAGAATTACACTTCTTACCTTTGATCCAGAAGAAATCCAATGGAGGTTAATGTCAGGATAATGAAGCAAACCCTCAGAAGGATTGTGACCTGTGACAGTGCCTGTCAAGGAAACAAAGAGACCAATAAATTCTTTAGGAGAGTTCTTAAAAAGAATATCAGAATTTAAAGCTGTTAAGAAAATTAGTCTCCAGTTTTATTTTATATTACACCATTTGTCACTGACATTTTTCAAGAAGGGTAAATAAATACACAGAGGACATTTTGGTTTTCCTAAGCTCATTTAATTATTTTGCTGGACACTTGGAGAATGAATTAGACACCTCCAAAGAGATATTTTGCTTAAAGTGTTCTTTCTAAAAATTCTCCTTTATAGTTTCGACTTTCATAATTCTTTGAAACACCTATGTCCCCACATATGGAGAAATCACTTACATTTTTATGAATAAATAGCAGATTCCAATAGCTATTTTTAATATTACCAATTCTTTGTGGTTTCAAACCCAAAGCTGTTTTTAATACAGAAAGTATTTAAAGGAGAATGTGTTTATGAGTGCAAACACACAAATGGAACATACTGTACAAATACATACTCACATTTGGTGAAATCTATAGATTCATATGTACATGTCAAAAGTTATCTTTTGAATTATTGTAACAGGACAACATATCTTCAACATAATTATAAATTATTTGTTTACATTATAAAATTTAATAATCATGTTTACTGACCATCTACTCTTTTATAGCTTCCATGTTATGTGTTTCATATACTTCAATTCTTTTTATAGTCCCTACAACCTTACAGATAAGGCATCATTATATCTGCCTCAAATATGAAAAAAGAAACCAGGAATGAAAGGATTAAGTAACTTTTCCATCATCACAGAGAAATAAATGCCTCTGAAAATCAAAATAACCTTCCTGACCTCAAAATATGACAATGGTGGATAAATCTGAGCAACAAACTTAAAACAGAAAGGGGCAGAGATCAAAGCCGAGGTTACATAGCTACTATATAGGGTCAGTTGAATACTGTTTTAGTTTAAAAGTGGATGAGTAAAGCAAGAAGTTGGATACGTAGCTCCCTGAGTGATTCCCCTACAGAAAGAGTGTTCTCATTAAGTGTGATATAACAAAGTGGCTAAAATACATGATGCAAACACTCTTTCTCTTTGCTTTTAATAAAATAACAAGAGGTGATTTCAACTCACTATTAACTAATACATACACCTACAAAAATTGCTCTGTCCAAAGTTACAAACAATAAGCAAAAGCTACCGATTGCAACTGCTGCTCACATCCAGCACCCCAGCTCCACAGCTCCTTATAAGCCAACTTACAACACCTCCTTATTCACCATCATATGCCTGGCTGGCACCCAGAATTGACAGGGATTTAAAACAAAGTAGCAGTTTAGTAGACGAGTATTGATGAGTAATCAAAAATATGAATAAAAAAAGTAGCAGAATGTTAGGGATATAGGGACTGAGCTAGATATCATATATAAGAGGGAAAGCTCAGTGGAAACCAGAATGTTTTAGTGGAATGCTATTTGGGTATGTGGAATTCAGCAGTGGCTGCTTTGGGACAGTTCAGCAAAAGTACCAGAAAAATGTTTCTTGGTGGTGAAGTAACTAAGTGTGCTTGAGCAGATTAACGGTTGCTTAAGGGAAACATTTTGTTTTTTAAGAAAAATGCTGCTTTCACCACTATTGCTTCATTTCGATTTCTTAGGAGAAAATGCATATGAAAGAGATATGTGCTCAAAAACTACTGCACGATTTCGAATGTTCTGCAAGAATATAGGATTTGGAATTATGCACTGAATCTATGAGCCATGTAACCATAGGCAATTTATTTGGCATTTCCAAGGCTCTTTTACGTGTTTGCTATATTTGAAATAAAATGAGTTTGGCAGCAATTATAATACGGTACTGAGAAGAGTGCTTGGCACAAAATCAACCAACAGTTACAACAGGAATGTCATTGTTACTATTTCCAGGCTATAATGATTCTTCAAATGGTACTTAGGTTAACCTTAATAAATTACAATTAAAAAAAGAAACACAAATAAGGGGTCCATTAACTCTTTCCAATATCACTGGAAATTCAGAGATAGATAAAATATATTTTTGAGTTTTGGTTAGGGACTTTATGATCTCATAACAAAAAAAAAGGAAGAAAGAAAGAAAGAAAGAAAAAGAAATAAGGAAAGAAAGAAGGAAAGAAAGAAAAGAAAAAGAAAAGAAAGAAAAGAAAAGAAAAGAAAAAAAAAGAAAAGAAAAGAAAAGAAAAGAAAAGAAAAGAAAGAGAGAGAAAGAAAGAAAAAGGAACTCTTCTTTGAGCAAATTGCTTCCTGGTTCCTGAAGTCAGAGTGAAAACCAACTTAATATGTCTATCTAGCTACCTAGTCAATGCCTCTACTAGCTAAAAGGCATTTGAAACTTACCACACATCTAAAACTATTTATTTCCTTCCTCCACACTACACATTTTCAGGTTTCTTCTTCTTAGAATGGCACATCTACTTTTTTAGTTACTGGGGCAAAAAAAATCCCGAAAAAAAAAAAAACCAACAAAAAACAAGCAAAACAAACAAAATTGTGACTCCTCCCTGACTCTTCCTCTCATTGTCTACTTCTAATACATTAGAAATAAAATGTTGGCACTCTACTGCAAGTACATCCAAAATAAAGGTATTTGTTACAAACAGCTGTTTTGTGAAGAAAAGAACTTGTTCCAACCCAACATGATCTCCACTACAACTGAAATACTCCTCTCTATTTTTTTTTTTAAGATTTTATTTATTTGACAGACCGAGAGAGTTCACAAGGCAGGCCGAGAGAGAGAGAGCGGGAAGCAGGCTTCCTGCTGAGCAGAGAGCCCAATGCGGGGCTTGACCCCAGGACACTGAGATCAGGACCTGAGCCAAAGGCAGAGGCCCAACTCACTGAGCCCTCATATACTCTCCTAACTCATGTCTCCACTTCTAAAATTGCATGTCTACCTATCATGGCCTTCCACCCACAGTTTCACAGCCAGAACGCTGACTCTTTTTCAGACGTACATCATATATCACATCATTATTATGTTCTAAATCTTCCAGGACCTTCAAATTCTACTTAGAATAAAACTCGAAGTCCTTACTCTGGCCCATACATAACATACCCCACTATCATACTGTCCCATTAGTAATCTCTCTTTCATATCACAAATTTTGATCTTCCTTTTACATGACAAGCATCTTTCCCATTCAAGTCTGTTTTACCTACTGTTCCTTCCATTGGGGCAACTTTCCCCAGGGATCTTTATGGGTCATTCCTTCATTTCATTCAGGTACTATTCAAATGCACATCCTTGTCTGTCATATGTAAAACATTACTTTTCCATAACTAACTATAAACTTATTCTATTATCTTGTTCTCCATACATCACTTCTGTGCAATTATGCATTTACCCACTTATCACTTCTATACAATTGTACATTTGTTTGAGCACTCTCTTTCTGTTCAGTCTGTCTCTCCCTCTAAGTCCCCCACTAGGATGTAAGCCCCGTTAGAAGTTATATTTTGTTATTTACTGTTACATCTCAAACATCTAGAACATCGTCTGGTGCATAGTTAGTACTCAATATGTTTTTGTTTAAAGATCAATCAATTGAATGAATATTTTATATCTGTGTTTAAATACCCATGCCCTTAATATTAATAATTTATATTAATTGGCTTATCAATAATTTAATATAACATAAATATTTAATTTACTATCAACAATATTTAGTTCTTTAAAATTAAAAATAAATTCTATTAAGCAAGTTAATGATTTAACATAATTTAATATTCACATACCAAATGTTTCAAAATGTTAAATGTGTTAAATATTAAACCTTTTAATATTTAATTCCTTAAAGAACGGGCTGCATTGGGCTCTCTACACAGCAGGGAGTCAGCTTCCTCCTCTCTCTCTCTCTCTGCCTGCTTCTCTGCCTACTTGTGATCTGTCAAATAAATAAAATCTTAAAAAAAATAAAAATAAAAATAAAAAATGATCTTTCGAATCAGCAGTTCAGTTGCCCTTATTTCCATAAGTTCCCTAGTGCAGGATTCACTATCCAAATTTGGATGCCTGAAGAACTCCAGCTCTGTGCAATTTCCTTTTAAGTAGATGGGAAAAAAAGAAAACAAAAAACAAAAAACAAAAACCTCAGGAAGCAACACTAACAACATATGAACTCGAGAATTACATGTTCGTTGCAAAGTGCTTAAACAATCAATGAGCTCGTGGGAGTCCTTCTTTGCTCGCAGATATAAAAAAGAAAGCCTTTTTCTTCTTTTTTTAAAAAAGAAGCCTTTTCTTCTTGAATGGGATATCATCCTCTTCACCATTTTGTAGAAACTCTGTTGATCAACATAACTAATTTTCCTATTTCCCTACCTCAAAAATCTCACAAAGGGAAATGTCAGCCCCATACATAATGTCGTAAAATGATAATATATGTCTATATAAACAATTTGTTTTTTTAAAAACGCTGTATGTTGGAGCACCTGGGTGGCACAATCGGTTAAGCACTTGGCTCTTGGTTTCAGCTCGGGTTGTCATCTCAGGGCCATGAGATCCAGCCCAAGTTAGGCTCCATGCTCAGCACAAATCTGCTTAAAACTCTCTCTCCCTCTCTCTCTGTCCCTATCGCCACCTGCACTCTTGCTCTCTCCCTCTCTCTCAATAAATAAATAAATCTTAAAAAAAAAACAAAAACAAAAACAACTTCATGTATTGTTGAAAATGCTTTGATGATATTTTCTATGTTTTTTCCCAAAGGACTTAGAAATGGAAATGTCTAGATTTTGTTATTATAGCAAGAGAGATTTTGAGGAGTTTCTCTTACAGGTGTCTATGAAGAACTACTAAAGTCATTATGCTTAGTCAAAATGCTTATCTTCCCAAATGTCTTTAAAATGAGGTCAAAAATCACCTAATACTTAAACCTTAGTGACTTCCGATGTGAAGGCAGTGGATTGGCTTTACTGTCCCACCTGCCAAGACGCTGTGTCATCCTGCTATTGCAGATGCCTTGAACTGCTGGATTTGTCATGTTAAAAC